CCTAATGCCCTTGCACAGGATGCCCTTTGGCCTGGTGCAATATCAGATAGAGTTCTTCAGTTGCACTAATGTACAGCAGGTATTTACAGCTGGTGTTATATAGCAATCTGCAGTTAAGCAGACCCCGTTGGGCTGCATCCATGTCCCGTTGGACCATGAGGGATGTCTGTCTCTCCCTTAAGCAGCACCCCAGCTGCATCCATGTCCAGTTGGACTAACATGTCCAGAGGACTAACAAATCTGTTTCAAGCCAACAGGCACAGTTTACACTGACTGCATGCTGTACACGTTAAGCTGTCCCCGTTGGGATAGCATCCATGTCCCGTTGGACATGAGGGATGTCTGTCTTCCAAAGTAACTGTGCCTGTTGTGTTGCATACATTTACACAACCACATCATACTAGACCAAAGTGCCATCACACACAGCTGATGATGATTATCCTTGAGTAATTATGTAATACTGTTTGCCAACATAGATAACCCTCCCTGATGACTTCCGAAGGTGGCAGGTGATGATGGAGCTGGAGTTTGGCACTAGATTCAATCGTCTGTTCCGGGGCCCAAGCTGGAGTGGCTGTCCTAGGGAGAGTGGAAGGATCCTATCAAGGTGAATCCACTTTAAACATACTTCATTTTCTTTTTATATCTCATAGATGTTAAGGATGATACAAAAATTTTAAAATGTTGCTGTCGGCTGGAATGCTATTAGTAATAAAATCATTATTGCAAAGATAATGTTTTCTATCAACACAGATGAATTTGCAATCCCTTCATTTCATTTCATGCCTTTTTCTGTTTATTCGGTATGTTCTGTCTGAGTTTTGTTTCACGAATAGCATTCATTACGCAACGAACCAGTAGTAACATGACAAATTCTTCTCTTTTCAGGCAAGAGTGAATGTGGCCAGCCTAGCTCGCCAAACAGTGACAAATGACATCGCAAGTTCAGGCACAACAGTCACAACAGACATACAGGTACCTATTGGATTTGCTGCCTTTTCAAACTTGTTGTATTCCAGATTGTACTTTCAGCACTTCAATCTTCCATACAACCTGACAGTGACATTTTGAACCCAACTAAAATCAGCAACATTCAGAACAAACAACATGTACCAAAATTTCAGCAATTAAAATAAGTCTATTTCAAATAGACTTATTTTAACTGCTGAAAACCACTTTTACCTTTTAGGAGTCAGCCTTGAAAGACCTGAAACATGCAAATCCGAAAGGAAGATACTGGATCAAGATAGATGGAACTGACATCAAACCGGCTCTACAGGAGTCTATGAAAGGACAGTGGAACGGGGCCATCGATCTGAGGGATGGGAAGCTGGCTGAACTAAGGAAGGAGTGTGACCAGCGACTTGAACTGGTAAACAACCTAGAAGTCAACAAGGAAAGGGCCACTCTAGAAGAAAAAATCAAAACTCTGGTCAACACCTTCCATGATGATAGCCACTTCCTCCAACAGGCCTTAACAGAAGCCGTCAATCTCTACACAAAAAATGCAGGTCCCAACAACACCCCAAGAAAAACTAAAAGAACTGAACTTCCTTTCACATTTCAGATCAGAGTGACTTCACATTTGTCTGCACGGATGACAGCGAGGACGGGTCTTCCTCGTCGTCAAAGCCAAAACACAACCTGAGAAGTGAACCTTTAACACAGGCCTCTGTCGTCAACATCGGGACAAGTTTTAGATGGACGATTCCATGTTTCCCGGTAATGACAATCACATCCCTACGGGCCACTGTATCTTCCTGGTCTAAAGGAAGGTTGGACAAAACCAAGCCTCCTGATTGGGCAAACCCGTCACGTGACACCCGCCCCCCATTCAATAACTAAAGCCTTCTTCTGTTTCATGTGCAGGATTACAATGGCCACCTTCCCAACACCTTATATCTCCAGCTAGATAACTCAGCCAAGGAATGTAAAAACAAGTACATCATTGCTTTTGCTACCTGGCTGGTGCATCTCCGAATCTTCAGAAAGGTAAAAACATGATGAATCGATTATTCACCAATTTGACAGCAAAATATTATTTCCTTTTTTGTAATGTTAAAGCATTGATGAAGGATTGTAACATTGTCACCAAACTTTGCTGCCTAGGTTATGAGCTTGTATATTTGTGGGTGGGTGGGAGGTGGGGGGTGGTTGGTAATTATTGGGACATACCCTGGTAATATGGGACTTTGGGAACTTCATTTGTAGAGTTATTTCTATTACAGCCAGAATCTCGTATGACTATAAGTATTTCTTCTTCTGAATCATTATTCATATGCATTCTAATCTAAAGAGTCTTTCTGGAATTTACAAGAGGTGAAATTGTGCTACCTCATGCCTGGGCACACCCACGAGGATGTGGATCAGATGTTTAGTCGATTTTCCACCCACCTTGAAAGAAAAGATGCACCAACAATCCCAGAACTGCTGCAACAGTTGTCGAATGCCTACACACCACAACCAGAGTGCAGGTATTGTATATATATATATATCTCTTAGGGTCATGACCAGTATGTGGGATTTCCGGGATACCATAGATAAGGAAATTTCATAGCAGTGAAATAAATTAATGATTTTTCGTGTTGCCATGGCAACGGGTTTCTGACGGTGTTTGTGACGCCAGGCTACCTCCTTTTACTATGGGCAACATAACCGGAACTTTCACTGCAAAGACAAACACCACTGAGGGTAAAGACAAAGCACGACAGGAAATCCTAGACACTCTCCAAGACATAGAAAGCAACATTGAACCAACTAGTTATCTTCACCGACGGATCTGCCTTGAACAACCCAGGCCCCGAGTGGATGTGCTGCGGTCATCTACGAGAGATGGGGCATGACCAAGCCCTACGCTGTACGCAAACCCGTACCTGCAAAATCCAACAATTACGTTCATCGTCGTGCTGCCGCCCTGCTCACGCAGCTCTGCATTAAAGGTCGTGCTCGGTTATGCACTTGAATTGCCGCCTTGAGTCGTCCCTGCGGTCTACGTTGGCGCGGCTTGAGAACTTTGGTATGGACTTCGAGGACGGGATGTGGGCGGTGTGGGGGGCAGTGAGAGCCGTCTTCCCAACGTGCAGCAGGCAGGGCTGTGCATTTCGTCTGACACAGGCCATCTATCGCAAGATACAGCGGATCGGTATGTACATGACATGCTTCATGTTTAGTATTTTGAATGTCAAAATTAAGTAAACTTTTTAATGTTTTGAATTCATTCACAGATGTATTTTGAATGGCAACTCGTATTTTAGGACTCAGTCTCAGCCGGCCTATTTGGAGAAGGCGGAGCGTACGAGCTGATGAGGAAGCTCATGGTACTACAATTCTCGCCGGCGGAGCAAATCAGGCGTGCCTTCGGGGAGCTACGAGAGCTGACTGACAACCGCCACGATGGTCAGATTTGGGTCCAAAAGTCCCACTCCGCTACTATGGAGATCGAATCCCCCGAACCCGCGAATCTTGTTCGATATGACGTCATTCGAATAGAACGGGCGTTCGATCTGGGGTTACCCGCGGTCATTTACAGTAAAACCGCTACAACCGGCTACTTCAAGCCCTTTTTTACTTGGGAACCGCGGAACAGGAAAAATCCACCTTTCCACAGATATGAACCGTTTTCAAAACATTACATCTATGCCGTGATTTTATTGTGGATATGTAACATGTAACGAAGCTACTGCCGTCATCGTGGGTGACCTTGAAGGTCAGAATTCTTGTATACGCTGTTATAAAATCCAGGTCCCCATATACAAGAGGCACAGCATGCGTGCAAACATGGTATTTTAACCATTCCCAAAAATCGCTCAAATTACCTCATTGAGGGCTTGTTTGGAAGAGGAACGATTTCCGCAGATTTCTGTCTTAGGGATTTTTTTAATATGGCCGCGATTATGAATTATCGGTATTTAAAGTTAAAACACTGCGTTTTTAGCTCTTCTTTTGACTGTAAGTCTAGTTTTAGTTAAAGAATAAAAAAAATCCTAAGACAGAAAGTTTAAATTTACTGTAATATTTCTAAAAATCCAAAAATCTAACCTTATTTTTAGTTTTCGGGGCCTCTTAAAATCAGTTGTTTGGTTCTCGTGAACCCTTTTCGACATCCGAAATTGATCTCATTTGGAAGCAAATGTACACAAAGTGGAGCAAAGGCAGTGCAAGAATAACATTTGAGGTAAACAAAATCACTTATTACATTTTATTTTGACGAGTATTTACTCTCCAATTACTTTTGTTTATTTTCAAATTTTACCCGTTACCCCCGGGCCGGCCCGGGACTCCCGCGCGGCCACGTTCGAACACGTTCTGTAACCCGATACCTCCGTAGTAATGCGACTTTTAGCCTAGCAACCGACCGCCGTGCGCTTGATCGACGAACTGACAACCTAAATGGAGCAGGAGTGGTTGAACAATAGCGTGTGGAGCGTGGAGGAATGGTCAGTGTACTTCCAGCATGTGTGCACCAACAATGATACCGAAGGATATCATACTCGCCTGAACAAGGAGGCGCAGCACAGTCTGCCATTCTACCTGCTGGTGGATCTACATGAGGAGTATCGGTATGTCAGCCTCCAGGCCAAGCTGGTGAGCATGAACAGGCTGACGCGCTACAGGCGCAAGCCCTAGATTGTGGTGAAGCATGTTGGTTCAACGCAGACTTCTTAAGTTAATATTTACAAACGATTCGACTTATGTTGACCATGAATTCAACATAACATGAAGGAATTGGCACACTTTTCTTTAAACACGTCTATATACACCCCATCAAAAAAAAGAAGAGGCAGGAAACGGAAGGCCACCACTGAAGAAGACACTTCGTTGTTCATCAAAATCAAGAACGGAGAGCTCTCGAAAAGAACCGCCAGTACCAATCGACCAGCTGAAATACGACGATGTGAGGTCAACAGTTTCAGCTTGTGTCAGGGCGCTGAACCCAAGTTGGGCGACCCCGCGACCCGCCCCGTGTACTGACCAGAGGACATTCCCTGGGTGAAAAGAGACCAAAGGATACCCGGAAGGTATTAAACCACGATTTTTTTTCTTTTCTTCCTTTACATAGTTGTTTTTTTTTTTTCATATGAATTGGATTGTCTCCGCTCCGTGTCAATTTTTGTTTGATTAATGTTTTTATACGTTCTGTACAGACTGGACTATGGCGATGAGGAAGGTCCTGAAAACATCCTCCACTACGTAGGGGAAGACCCGGAGATGTATGCGGCCAGCGTCCAGTCCGCCAGCCACGACCGGTACCGCTGACCCGACCCGGCCAACCTGAAGAAACGACGGGCGAATCGGACGGCGAGGCGTTGGACGACTTCATCGAACTTTTCACTGCTGGCTGACGTCCGGTTTAGCCTGAGCCTCAGCCCAACAGACGCCGAGCATACACATTCACCCGTATCACCTGGCGGGTAGTTCCCGGGCTGTTTTTTTACCACTTTCGGGCGGGACCCCGACGTGGCCCCGCGGGGCACCCTGCGGCTACCGGGCTATTTTTTGGCCCGTCGGGGCCCCGATAAGAATTTAATTCTGAGTTAAATTCTACCCGGGCCCCGCTGACAACAAGATGCCGTCACAGAACCGTCAAACACCGTCCGGTACCCCTCCGATTGCCGGCAGTCCACCGGAACTAATTTGTTATGTCACAGACCAGATAAACAGAATAAAGGTGACGTGTACTTCGTAAGACCAGGTGAAATGTGTGACGTCACAGATCCTGTGATTACAGCAAAGGTGTTCACTTTGTTGGATGCGTGTCAGTTCGTCACCATGCCAAAGGCAAAGAGGACGGGGTGTCGGACCCCACAGGGGTCACTACAAGACATCGTCAGAGCATCTGCCGGGTATCTACCGGAGACCAATCAATGACGATGGCAAAATTTGTATCAGCAGGCCACCGAGTGCCCGTCGGGCAAACCCGGGACAACTGCAGGGAAGCGTAAAGGCAACTTTCAATTGTGACCACAACAGCCGATGCCCGCCCTACTCCTGAACCCGGCCGGGGCCAGCCGGGGCTACATCCCCGACGGGCACCGGCGTAATTGGGACCTTAGCTTTACCAAGAAGCGCCGACTGCCCGCGAGCCCCAGAAACCCCAGCGCCAGGATTAAAACTGCAAAGGTGCCTTACACACCGTCCGCCAATTAGGTAACTAACATTAGTCGTGTATACTAGTATGTAACTGTAACGGTGGTCGTGTATATGAACTGTAGCGTTAGTCGTGCGTATGAACTGTAACATTATTTTTGTATAAGAACTGTGATGTTAGTCGTGTATTCGAAGAGCAACTGAGGCACTCACAACAACACGATTCACGAACAATGCGGTGGCACCCCATCATGACACACGGTGGTGTCTTGCCATATTTTACCAGTCTCCCGCAGCCTACGATACGATTCGGGACTCAGGTACCCCGTTCAGACCGGACTTATATTTAGTGGTTTTAACCGGTTTTTCAAAAACCGGTTTTTATTTAAACGCATAACACTCCAACAGTATTCCAAATTCACGAAGCCAACCCCTATATTCAACGCAGACATCCCGGAAAGGCTGTCAGAAGTGTCAAAAGTAGCAGAACTGCCAGAGTGGAAGAAGAATGTTACACTTATCTAGGATGAGATGAAGATCAAACTGGCCCCGTCTATAGTAAAACATCTGGAGAACTTGCTGGTTTTACGGACCTGAGTAGGGCCATGCATACTTGTGGGAGTTGAATATAAATTAGATCATTTTTCACAGATCCTCAGCAACACAGTGAGCTGTGCCCTTGCCAGGCAAGGATGTCATGATACAGTGTCCTCAAAATTTAAATTTATAGCTTTGAGTGCTAAGGTGATTTATATAGCATAACAGGAGTTGCTTGGAAATAACAGTATCTTCAAATCAAATAGATGTGGAGGTGGGGTTCATTGTTATTTTTGTGTGCTTTGCTTAGTAACAGTTAACTAAATGTGTAACTCAATATTTTTCTACAGGAGCGTTGCAGAGGAAATGAAGCGCAACAA